CTTTTCCACTCTAGGATATCTACTTGGGTATTGTATGTATTTGTAGCATAGAGATTTCAGGCCTTCCTACTCCGATACTTGTGATTTCAATTATGTGACTGCTGTGCTGTGCATAACATGTATGTTTACAATATATGGAAAAAATGGTTATCAGACTTCTTGTCTCGGCTGTGCTGGTGACTTGTGGCTCTTCAGAACTCAGATCATGTGCAGATGTCTCCATGCAGGTGGTTTGTGCACTGACTGGGCTCCTGCAGGGCTAAAGCAGCCTAAAAAGGTAGTTACATGTGTTCAGATCTGTGGCACAGATACTAACTACCTGGACTTTAGAAAATGTATTACCTGAAGCCTTTATGACTATTCCTTCGGGTGTTAATTTCACTTTCTCTCTTACTCAGAACTGCTGAAGGTAATTTTTTTTTTCCTCCACGTGGCTTGTGACTTCAAGGGTGGTGCATACTTGTTTTGGAGTCAGTTCCCTCAGCAGAAGCTCTGTACAGATATTGGCCTGTGATGCTGATGCTGTACTGTACAAAGTGCTTGCTTTGCTTGGATGTAAATGGAAATTTGAGATTCAGCTCGTGTACTTAGAGTACTTCACTTCCTGACCACAACTCCCACATAGCTAATTTGGGACAGTTGCTTAAGAGGAACTACTGTTTTTTGGTGGGGTAGGATGGAAATCCATAAGGATTTCAGTTCAAACAAACCAGCTGGTTTAAAACCACATGAAGTCAGGTCAGAGAGGTCTTTGGAGCAGTCTTGTCCTGCCAACTGGAAGATATCATTCCACATTTATAAATAGAACCTGTTCAGTGTGAGGTTTTGCTCCCTTCAGAAGCTTTTCCCCAGCGCAGGCTCTGCACAGCCATCTTTTTGGGGTGATTCCACAGCCATTTGAAATGGAAAACAATGCTCTTCCCAAGGGCAGTGGGAATGGTTATGCTGAAAGTGAAAAGCTGGTAAAACCAGTTTCCAGCTAGCCTGTGTGCAGATTGTGCTGACGAGGCAGAGCTGTCCCCTCCTCCTCCACTCCCCAGCCACCAGGGCCTTAATTAAAGGCTAAAAAATTTTTTTTGTCTAGTAGTTTCTGGTCTACAAATAGCAGTAAAAGACAGGGGAAGTAAGAGCCCGGGGGTGAAGGGCAGGCAGCAAGGAGGTTGCACAGGACACCAGGAGGAGGAGTACAGTGCTCAGGAGTTTTGGCTGCAGGGTCTTTGTGGTGACAACTCTCCAGCGAGCTAAAAGTCTTCTGTAAAAACCGGTAGTTATTTTGCGATCAGGAACAAGAATATCATCTCCTTGCTCATTTGGGCAGTTCTATTGTTTTCATGACAATCACTTACTGTTGCACACAGTGCATGTACATGGCAGTGTTCAGGGCCAGGCTGGATGGGGCTCTGAGCAGTCTGGCCTAGTGGGAGGTCCTTTCCAACCCAAACCATTCCGTGTGCTTTCCTCAGCTGCTCGTGAAATAGCGGAAGCAAAGAGGAGGTGTGATAAGAATTGTGCGTGTGCCATTTCGGTTCTTCCAGGAGCTCACGGCAGCGGTTTGTTGCCGGGG